GGCAATATTTTCTTGTTGGCTTTTTGTATTTTAACTTCTCCTAGCCCCACTCAGTGATCTGATGGGCCACTTTGGGGAGCAGTATTTTACACATTTATATATCCATTGCCTAACAACCACCCTTTCCACCAAAAATGTTCACTAAAAGTTGTTGAGAAGTCATTTTAATGCTAGAATAGATAGTTATAGATCTTTTCCATGTATACATATTCAGCAGGAACTCCAACAATGTTGAAAGAAGTTTACTGTTTAGCACAGGATTTCAAAATATTTTTGAAAGCCCTTAAGTTTTTAAATGGAAGATGGTCTTAGGATTTCAAGCAAATTGTAGTTTTTAAATAATAAATCCATCTCTACTGGAGGTGATGGATAAATATTTCCCTGAGGTTTAAAAGGATATGTGTGTCAGTTTTTGTTTTACAGCAAATGTCAGATAAAGCAAATGTATGATGCATTTATTTATTTATTTTTTAAAAAAGAGTAAATGAATTGTATTTGTTGAACAAGGGTCAAGAATGGATAACTTTGCAAAACACAAAGAACAGCCAGCCAAATTAATAATAGCTTTTCATTGAATCAAAACTCAAGATAGAAGCATATTATTAACAAAAGCAAAGGAAGCTGTGCAAAATATATAGGCTTAATTTATTGCATACTGAAGATTTAAGCTTTATTATCTGGGCAGTTATAATTTGAATACCCTTTTGATGGCCTCCAAGAGATATAGAAAATGTGGGATTCTCTGCTGCCACTTCATGGTTTTCCAGCATTTTGCAGACCGTGTATGATAGCCTTAAGCTATGCCTCAACACTGAATGACAATCTTAAGTTTGAGAATATTAAATGTACTTCTGGTCAGAATGATTTCAATATAGTTCCACATGTTTTGTTTTAAAATAGCAGCCTATCTCACCACTTTAAAACAAAAGCTAAAAAGGCTGTCCAATGGATTTTGATAACCTCCTTTTTTTCTGGGTTGTTGCTTAATATTATGCACTGCCATTTTTCTGCATCCATTCAGTATACATCAGTGTATAGTAAATTCAGTGTGCTACAACTTTGGAAGATCAGTAGGAATGGAATTTTAGCAGGCGGACCTGTCTCCCAGTTACAACCTGGATGATGGTGCCCCAAATACTGTACGTAATTCACTAAAGTGCTATTTACTGCAACATTCATATATAGAGAAAGGCAGAAAATTACTAGATAAGTTTTTTTTTCCTAACAAGATAGTTGTGATGAGATTTCAAAAGCTTCAATCTTTATATTGCAGAACAAACAGGAAAGTTTCCAAAATAGTATGAACCTGACATTGTTAGACCAAGCTGGCATGCAGAGTGGGTGGTGGCAGAGATACTTATCAGACTTGCAGATGTAAATAGCATCTATGTTTCTTGTTTCATCCCTCTGCTCGTCACCACAGCTTCCGGGGTTATCCTCCCCTGCTTGGTTTTTCTGTTTCAACTAGCATGATTTAAAAGCCACATGTTTCCTTTAAAACACTGAACTGCCATTTCTCTGTTCATGTTTGAGAACTTTCTTCTTCAGCTGGCAGGGTTCTTCCTTTGTCAGAACCAGAGACTGAACAAATATTAGAGTGAATCATCAAACTGAATTGTGTGACTTGCCTGCACAGCTCAGAAAGAATCTTTTGCACCTTTGGACACCCAGATTTCACAAGGTGGCTGTGAACCAGTGGTGATATGGCAACCCAGGTTTAAATCTACACTTTTCTAGGTGGAAATGGGAAAACTTCTGCCTTTAACCCTGGAAAGACGCTAACCAGCTGATTTGGGATAATATAGTCCAGTGTTTCTGGAAGCTGGTGAAGATAATATTGAGCAAGAGAGATCCATATTTCACTGAATGTAAGGCACTTTCTTACATTTTTAATATTACACTGATAGAGGGGAGGATAAAAAATGTGATCTCACCTGACCATATATGCTCGAGCTAGAACAGAAGTCCCCAACCTTTTGCGTGTTGTGATTCCTCGCCAGCCAGTGGATCTGGCAGCTGAGTCTGAGGAATCAAATGAGGAGGAAGGACCTGGAGTGACATTAGAGTCAGAGGAAGGCTCTGAGGAGCTCCAAGTCTTACAGTCAGACGAGGAGTCTGGCCCCTCTACTCACGCTCAGGCTGAGACACAGCTGTGCTGGGAGCCTGAGTGGGACAAATCCAGGATGCACGAAAGTGCAGACAAAAGAAGCAAGTAGGACAGAGGAATGCAATGGAGCAGCTCCAAAGGCAAAGGAGAAGGCATTAGGAAGCCATGCCTTGGCTGAATTATAAAAGGGAAGGTGTGGGAGGTGCTGGTTGTCGAAGGCACCCATTCGTGTTGAGGATTGAGTTTCTGTGGACTGTGTTTGTTTGCCTTGGACATTGACTCAGGTCTGTGAGAATAAAAGGGGTTGGCTTTTTCTTGAGGTTCCTGCCTGTTTCTTGGTAGAGGAGTTTCTCCTTGTGAGCATAATAAGGATTCACGTAGGCTGGGACAGAACTTTGGGCATCAGGGACTGGTTCTGTGGAGAGAGGTTTTTCTGCGGACCAGAGAGGATGTGGTTTTGTGTGCTGCCTGCATTTTGTGGATGGTTTGTGCAGACCAGTTGCTGGCATGCTTGTTTGTGCAGACTGGTTGCTGGCATGCTATGGCCCAGTACTGGTCCACAGACTGGGGATTTGGGACCCCTGAGCTAGAAGGCTTTTTCAAGTTGTACACATTTTGGCAACAAGTATGAGTTTATTAAGCAAAAGTATACCCAGGTTTCTGACAAATAAAAGATGGAAAGTAAGGAAAGAGAGGGATACTGCAAACTTAATTTACTATGAATATAGTGCACAAGCCTCTTTTAAACACATCTAAGTTTTTTCATTGTTTTAACAAAACTACAGAACAGAATAAATGCAAAACATCTTACTGACTGTCTTTTTATTTGTTACTTTGTGCTGATGGAAAGCCGTTCCTGCCAAAGAGAGTTCATACATTTCATCAAAATAACCTTTATGACATACGTTTGTTTCAAAGAATACAGATTTTGTTTTGCCACAAATTTAGCCATTACCAAATATTTACATTTTGGATGCATTATTACATTTTAAAATCATAAAAAACACATGTAACATTTTTTAAAACTGGAAATTATTGACAAAATAATAGGGTTCAATCCCCTATTCCAATTTTTGTAAATTATCAGTCTTCTTTTTAGTAAAACACTTTAAATATTGGTAGAACTGAACTGTTGGCTTATTCTTTAAAAAGTGTTTGTCTCATTGATAAGATTTTATAATAAGCCATGTGGCTTACAATGAATATATAGCAAATGTTTTGTCTGCACATATTCCTACTCAACAATTGTAGGCAGGGCTTTTTTTGTCATAGAATGCCCAGAATGGAGTTCCGGCACCTTTTTTGCATGGAACTTTGTAGGATAGGCAAGGCAAGTTGTATGACATGTGTGAGTTCCGGCACCTTTTTTATTTTATTTTTTCAAAAAAAGCACTGATTGTAGGCAAGTTATATTCTTAAATCCCACTCCAAACATTTAACTAACACTGAGATAATTTAAGATAGCTAAATCAATTCCATTTCCAACCCCAGCCCAGAAAAAAAGTGTTAATTTTAAATAAAATTATCCCAGAGTCAATTTATTCAAAGAACATAAACCAAATTATAATTTATTTCCCAGTAACATTTACATATGCTGATCAATCTTCAGTGCTAGACTGCAATAGAATTCCTATTATAACTAGAATAAAATGCTAGCAAGAATACCACAGATACAAATTATAATTCTTTAACTGTACCCATAATAGTACATCATCATATCTTATTGTATGTATTACATTATACTATTTCATCTGAGAAGCCAACAATTTCTTTGGCTTCCCCCCCCCTCTTCCTAATATATATACATAACAGACTTTATTAAAGTCCCACATCATAACATATATTTAAATGTGAACTTAACAGACCTACAGGCACTATACAGTTTCCAAGTATGATTTTTCACATTCATATTCAAAACTTATTTTACGTTCTTTTTAAAATTATATGTAAACATATATGTATATGTATATACAAATGTATATGTATGTATGCATATGTATATGTATGCATGTATATATTTTCATTGCAAAACAGCAAACTGGATTTTCTAACTGTAACTTATAAAATATCACCAAACACCAATTTGGGATATTTCTCATCCCAACCAATATAGCAGTATTATAACCAGTAATATTATAGAGCAGTAGAATAGTTCTCAATTTAATTAATTATGATTTGAAATAATTAAAAAATAAATCCATATGTGAACATAGACTATAAGCAGTTGAAACAAGTATATTCTTGTTAAGACAGATTTTATTGTCTTGCTATATCAATCAAATTAAATTGCTGGATATAAACATTGGCGATATTCCACCTCTGTAGTTCTTTTTTAAAGAAATTTTATTTCAATGAATTGAGTTGATAAATGCTAAATCAAAATTAGTGTATGGCAGTAGGCAGCAGCTGTATTCACACAACATGCTTAATTAATTTTATAATCAGCAATAATTATAAATTTGGTTAGATATAATTTGGAAAAGGTGCTTTGCTTGCTTTTTGGTGCCTTAGCATATGGTGTCAATCCACCCTATTTTGTTAGCTTACTTGGTTCAATCCACTCTAAGGCTTATTTTGCTTTAACCATAGTTTATTGAATGAGCCACAGAGTCATGCTTCACATATTGCTAAATGAACTAACCACAATGGTAGATTAAATCAACGTGAGCGATTAAACAAAACTGATCACATTAATCTGTTGTATGAATCTCGTCTATGCAAAAATAGAAAGGGTTTTTATGTGTGTTAAATAACTGGATTCCAAAAGCTTTTTAATCCTAAAAAAGAATGCCTAAGTATAGACGTGATATATAGAAATTACAATTCAAAGATATAATCAAATGAGTTTCTCTATTGATCTTGATTCTATCATACTGTGCTTCCTTTCATTCAGGTGTCTATAATAATCGGTTCTGTTTGTTGGTCTGGAGGAAATGAGGATAGCATCCTTCGGTTGCCTAGAAATTCAAACCAGTCTTTGTCATTTCTCTTCCCCACAACTGGACAGGACTTTACAGAGATGGTTCTCAAAAGTAACTTATCTTCCCCAACTGAGAAAATAAAGTCAGAGCTGAGGTAAAATAACAGCAAACTAGGAGAAAATGTGTATTATATTTATTTTGGGGAAAGAAGTATGGGAGAATTTCTCAGGATGTGGGAAGGTACAAGAACTGAAAGTTATGGTTACTTGGTTTTCAGCTATTAAAGGCATCAGTAGAAATATTCTTGAAAACACAATGTGAACATATTTTAATGTGTACAACAGAACACACTGTCTTTTCATGGTTAAAATCCTTGAGAGCAGAACTATGATTACGTTTGAAGAAAAAAAACTAAAATGGGTTAAGGGTTAAGTACCCTTGCATTGTTTATTGAAGTGCTGTTTTTTTATATAACTGTTTAAGAAACATAAACTTTGCTTACCTATTGCTTAAATGTTCTTAAGTCTACAGGAGAATTAGCAGATAAACCTGGTTAGTACAATAAAACTTCAATTTGATGGACCATTTGGAAAAAAGTTGTATCTGTTAGACTTGAATGAGATCATTTCAATTTGCATCATTTGCATAACTGTGTATAAATGTCTGCATTTAGGCTGATTTCCAATATAGAGGACTTGCCCACTAAATGGAAACTTTTGCCATACAGATTGAGTTCTGTATTTCCAACCATTAAACTTGCAATCTACTAATTAAGACTTCGTTAATGATTTTACTAATTTGGATGGGAGATCACCAGAAAATCTCAGAATAACAGACTAGATGGGAAGCAAAAAAATAAATCATGGCAATGGTTAACCATTTTTTAATTGTTGCAAGAAAACTACCTTAATGAAAAACTAGATCAAGTTTTTGACATTTTTCAAAACCCTTTAGGAAGTAGTGCATGAATCCTGGAAAACGAAAAGTGAGAAAAATCTGCGGAATAATACGTATTAGGAAACATGATAAATTCTATAAAGATGAAGGGGTCAAACTATTTTCCAAACACCAACATGCAAGACAAGAAACAATGGTTGGAAACTAACCATTGAGAAGCAAACTAGAACTAAGAGAAATTAACCAATGGAGTAACTTACCTTCAGAAGTTGTGAATGCTTCATCACTGAAGGCTTTCAAAAAGTGTCTGAACAACCATTTTTTAAAAATTATATAGACTAGAGCAGAGGGTTGTACTACAAGACCTCCAAGTCCCTTTCAACTTTATTATTCTATGTTCCATGAGGGATTAAGAAAACATGGTTCAAAAAAGTGATCAATGTAGGATTTAGGATCTGATTTTTAGGGAAATAGAACATGTGCTAGAAAGATTGAATAGAATTGTCTTCCACTACATCAGAATAAATTCTACCCCAGAATTGCAACTTTGTATAAGAGTTTTTCAAGTCCTACTTGGAATGCTAGAGAGCTTCAGTATTGTACGCAAAGTATGTACTTCACCCTTAAGTTACACAACCCACTCCCTTTCTTCAAAGGAAGGAAAACTGGCACTGGAATCACATTTGAGAAAGAGATACACAATTGCCTCAGATGAAACAGGAGGGAGGAGAGATTTGGATTGTTGAACACCAGAAAATGATGAGCACTTTACAAGAAATGCTGCAGGCAAATGAAATTTAATGATAATAATAAAAATGATCATGTCAATGCAGAAGACTTTTTTCCCTTAATCTTAAAGTTACATTATATGGATTTCCTCTGTAAAAAAAACACCCTATTTTGCTTCGGAAAAATAAGATCTGATGTTGAAAGAAGGTTAGAATACAGCCAAATGTGTTGGACTTCAATTCCCATAGTTCTCATCAACATACAGACAAGCTTTTGATGTGGAAGAAAGTTTTTAGCTGGTGGAGTTAGAGGTGCCTGAGATGCTTTCATTGTTTTAATATGCTTTGATTGTATTTTTAAAGCCATATTTTATATCTTATTGTTTTAATTTGTTTGCAGGACATTGTTTATTGGTGGTATAGAAGTGCCATAAATAAATGAATAAGCAATTAAGAAAGATAAAAATTAAGAAGGATAAAAGCGACTGCACAAACTCTGAGCTAAAATAAGCCGCACAAATTGCAGACAAAAAAGAAGACCTCACGGCCAAATTCAAGGGGTATTTATAGATTTAAGAATATAGAGCGCAGCTGTGTGTTCATGACACACTCACCAATGGTCAATGTAAACCTGATTTATAAAACATAACTGTGTTAAAAACTACTTATCAGCATATCTCTGTTAAGGTCATATTCTCTATAATATACAACCAGAAATACTACCCATTATGTGACATTCTACAGGACCAACTCTTAAGAGCCTGACACCCTAGACCAGGAGTGTCAAACTGCCGGCCCGCGGACTGGTTTCATCATACCGAAGCCACGCCCACCCCATTGCCAGCAATGCAAAAAGAGTCGCGACAAGTCGCGTGACGTGTCAAGTTTGACACCCATGCCCTAGATAGTAGTTATTAGAGAACAGGTAATGATATCAAAAGTATTAGAGAACAAAAATGATTTATTTTTTAAAAAAAGATTTTTATTAATTTTTTTATACATTCAATAGTATTTGTTCAACAAATGTGCTGAGTTTACATTCACTAATACATATTTAGTTCCTAATCTAGAATAAAAATTATTTCTTCTGCAGCTTCTTAAATAGGATGCTATCTTCAGGTGTTAAAAGAAACATTGTTCTATAATTAATATGGAATTACTATACAACACCCAATCTGATCATGTTCTGTAAACTGAGCAAGGAGCTGACTTGTCCATTTGCAATAAAATATCTTTCATCTACTGGTCAGGGCTTCAGTGCAGATTCACAGAATTTAATCCATGTTAAACATGGTAAAATTATGTATCCTGTTTATTTCACTTATACGATTTATGTACTTTTCCATAGTCCCCTATGCATAAACATGTATTCTGGGTCTTGTGTTGTTTTATTCTAGTTAGAGTAATCATCCACAGCTTTTGGAAATTACACAGCATGACCTTTCTCTTACTTACTCAAAAGTAAATACCGGTACCCCATATTTCCAAGAAAATAACTTTATGACTCCAGGTTTATTCAGCCACCTCTTTGTTTTTGTCAGCATTCATTGGTTATATGTTTTTAATCATATTGAACTAGGAATCTGTTAAATATAAAAAGGATTATAGATCTCAAGAGGTAAAGTTCTGCATGCGTGATCCTATTCTGGATTTCCACAGTATTCTGACTATTTGTTAAATTTGAGAGATGTTTCTATAGCAAACTTATTTTCAGAATATTATTAACAGGTATGCCAGCATTCTTCATAACAAGGTGTCCAACCTTGGCAACTTTAAGACTTGTAGACTTCAACTCCCAAAATTCCTTCAGCCAGCATGGGCATTGAAAGCCACAAGTTTTAAAGTTGCCAAGATTGGGCTCTCCACTTCATAATATCAAGGCCAATATTTGGGCTAGTACATTTTCTGCCCAATGCAAAGGTCATCATTATGCTCCTTTCATTCCATGACTAAAAGCCAGCTGGATAGCCAATTAAAACAGGCATCTGGAAGGGTGCATGGTTCTTTCCTCCAAAATCTATTTTCTATTGATTGCCTTATTCTGCCTCTTGCTTAGGACCATTTCTTTAAAAAGCCAAATACTGATCCTTAAGTTGTTGTTGTTAGTTGCAAAGTCGTGTCCGATCCTTTGTGATCCCATGGACAACATTCCTCTAGGCTTTCCTGTCCTCTACCATCTTCTGGAGTCCATTTAAGCTCACGCCTACTGCTTCAGTGACTCCATTCTCTGTCATCCCCTTCTTCTATTGCCCTCAATCTTTCCCAGCATTAGGCTCTTCTCCAGTGAGTCCTTCCTTCTCATTAGGTGGCCAAAGTATTTGAGTTTCAACTTCAGGATCTGGCCTTCTAAAGAGCATTTGGGGTTAATCTCTTCTAAGACTGACCGGTTTGAACGCCTTGCAGTCCAAGGGACTCGCAGGAGTCTTCTCCAGCACCATAGTTCAAGGGCCTCAATTCTTTTGCGCTCAGCCTTTCTTATGGTCCAACTTTCACAGCCATAATTGCAACTGGGAAAACCATGGCCTTGACTATACGTACTTTTGTTGGCAGGGTGATGTCTCTGTTTTTTAGTATGCTGTTTAGATTTGCCATAGCTTTCCTCCCCAGGAGCAAGCGTCTTTTAATTTCTTGGCTGCAGTCCCCATCTGAGGTGATCTTAGAGCCCAGGAAGATAAAATCTGTCACTACCTCCATTTTTTCCCCATCTATTTGCCAGGAATTGAGAGGGCCAGATGCCATGATTTTGGTTTTCTTAATGTTGAGTTTCAAGCCTACTTTTGCACTCTCCTTCTTCACCCGCATCAAGAGGCTCTTTAGTTCCTCTTCATTTTCTGTCATTAGAGTGGTATCATCTGCATATCTTAGGTCAGTGATGGTGAACCTTTTAGAGACCAAGTGCCCAAACTGCACTTATGCATCATCGGGTGCCGGGTGGGCATGGCCCATTGGGTGGGTGTGGCCCATTGGGTGGGTTTGGCTGCAGTGGTAACGATAGACTGGGTGGGACTAAAAAGTTCAATCAATCAATTCCAACTTTGCAAGATCTTTTTTTTTCCGTGAGAAGTTGAAATTGACTGATTGATTGAACCTTTTTTTTGTACACGGCAGAGGAGGCCTAAAGTGAAAAGGTTTTATAAAACCCAGCTGAAGGCCTAGGACTGGGGCGATAGCGCACGTGCCCACAGAGAAGGCTCTGAGTGCTGCCTCTGGCACCCGTGCCACAGGTTCGCCACCACTGTCTTAGGTTGTTGATATTTCTCCCAGCAATCTTAATTCCAACTTTTGATTCATCTAGCCCTGCCTTTCTCATGATGTGCTCTGAATATAAGTTAAATAGGCAGGGCGACAGAATACAGCCTTGCTGGACTCCTTTCCCAATTTTGAACCTTAAGTTAACCCATTGCTAATGCTGTTTCTTTTCTGTCCCTTCGAAACAGCAGTCAATGCTGCCAAACCTGGTCTCTTTGCTTCCTTTTGGCTGGATACCCCTCATTATTCAAGAATACTTAGATAGAGGCATATTCTTGCTTTTGCTGACTACTTGCTCTTTGTTTTGCCAATCTTCCAAAGACAGAGGAGTGAAAACTTTCCGCTCTCATTGTACAAGTAATTCTCGACTTACAAACCACAGCTGGAACCAGATTTTCCTTCGCTAAGCAAGGTAATAGTTAAGTGAGTTGTGCACAATTTTACAACCTTTTTTGCCATGGTCATGGTCATTTAGTGAATCCAGTTTCCCCCACTGAGTTTACTTGATGGAAGTCAGCAGGCAAACTCACAAATGGCGATGAGTCTGGGAAACTGCAACCATTGTAATGTACCTGCCATTTACCAAGCACCCGAATGATTACATGAGCATGGGAAGGGTGAGGACCAGTCATAAGTCACTTTTTTCAATTGTGTTGTAACTTTGAATGGTCACTAAATGAATGGTTGTGAGTCAATGACTACCTCTATGCTCAATTACCTAGGAGATGGGGTAGATAAGTAGCAGCACGGACTGGATAGCACAACCGGCCAGCAAATGGATGGACAAAATGACATGAGTTCATTTGGAAATTAAGGCCAACAGTCAGTACCTTGCTGAGGGTCTTGCAGGAATAGGATGTAGAATTAAAACCTGCCTGGATATATAAATATTAGTAATTATAGTCTTCTTGTTATTATCAAAGCCCTCATCATCATCATTTTAGCCATGGTCTATCCAATGCAGGATGAAAGCATCTTCTGCATGTTTCCAACCTATACAATCCTGAGCTTTCTTTTGCCAATTGGGCTGCAATACTTGCTGATGTCATTGATTCATCTTACTTTAGGTCTTTTTCATGAACACTTTTTATCAAGTGGGATCCATTCTATGACTGCCTTGGTCCACCTGCCATCAGTTTTTCTTGCAAGTAGCCACCCTTTCAAATGTATTTTCCTTGTCTCTCCCACACTTTGATTCAACTTTTTTTTTTTCTGTGTAGATGAAGAATAAAACTCTCTTAGAAGAGAATTTATTAAACACAAGGCTGGAATCACTCACACATAAGGAACTGGGAATCAACAAGCTCTGCTATAAAATCAAATGAAATGTTTGGTATTCCAGTTTTGAAATTATCAATATTTGGAAGGACAGAAGAGGTAGCAATTGACTGTAATTTTCTAAATGTGGTCTATAATAAATTCTAAGAGTTGCCATTTTTACGTCCAACAACTTCTCCTTGCATTGCCATGGGGCATGGAAGGAAATTAGCAGGTACATGTTTTTTAAAGTTTTCTCCCTCAGTCTGTTTCTTTTGTTAATGATATTAAGTGTTGCAATTTTGTAACTGAAAGTAATGCAATTTTATTTTCTAGCCCTGTAAACCTGAGGGTTGAGACAGTAGATAAATTGTAAAAAGGAAGAAGAAAGACTACACTTGGTCTATAAATAAACCATAGAAAGCTCTGCAGGTCTTCTTGGCAGAGTATGCAGCCAGCTTTCCTAAATGTCTGTGAAGATTCTCAGACATCCAGGTCATAGTTGCCTCAAAGGTGGTTTTTTCTTCTTCTTCAAAACACAACGGGACTGTTTTTTTCTTGAGGAAGAAGAACTCCCCCGCCCTCACACACACATACACACACTCCCCTCAGAACTGACGAAGTTTATTGGATGAGAAGCGAAACGTTTTCTTCTTCCTCCTCAAGGAAAAAACAGTCCAGTTGCCTTTTGAAGAAGAAAAAAAGCACCCTTGAGACAATTTTCCTAAAACATCGGACTTCACGGCTGGGATTTAGAACAGATAAAGCCCATCACGTCTGAAAGGCCCCAGTTGGAGGTGCCCGATATCAGAAAATATTAAAAGGCATCTCTTTTAGCATTTAACTTCGTCATTATCGCCACGAAGGCGTATCTCTGGCCGCAGGCATTACCTCCCTTGTGAGGAGATAGACGCTTGTAGCAACTGTGTCATAGCTTGGCTTCTGTGTAATAAACTCGCGAGGGCTGGCGTGTTGCACAGCCCTGCCGCCGCCCTTTCTTTTTGCTTCCAACCAACCCTGCCCGGGGGCGGCTGTTTCTTTCGGATAATTTTCATTTTTCCTTCTCCGCTCATCTTTCAACGTCAGTGGGAATTTCCAGCTAGGAAGTGAGAGGGAGGCGAAAGTGCGGCCGAGGAACGAGCGAGAAATAGGCGGGCAGCAGGGAGGGAGGGAGGGAAGTGCGAGGCGCTCGGGGTCGCGCGCCCAGAGACCGCGCCCGCGCCCGCGCCCGGCTGTCTGTATCTGCGTGGGCGGCTAGGCGGGCAAAGAAGTCCTCGCGGGACCCGGACAGGCGACGGCGCGCGGGGCTTCCTTTTTTTTTTACTCAACGAAGAGCCCAGCCTCGATCAGCTGCTCCCTCCTGCTGCGACACCGCCGATCCTGAAGAGCCTTTGCGCGGACATGGCGCTCTTTTGACCGGGATTTCTCCGCCACGGTCGCCTTCCTTCTCCTTCGCCTTCCTTCTCACACTGCGCCGGTCTCCGATCCGAGTTCTTCCTTCCTTTCCTGGTCGAAGGTCCCCGAGTGTAAGGTGAGCCCGCGGAAGGTCCATCCCCACGACAGGCATATATGCTCCGGGCTAGCGGGAAAACCCGCGAGGGTGCGCTTTCGGTGCCATGCGGAAATGTTGCGAAGTCGGGAAAGGAACTCTGTTCTCCGACTTTAGAGCGCGACGGTGGCTTGTCCCGTGGGTTTATTGCGAGCGAAGCGGTTCTTTCCTTTTTACGATCCCCGGATTTCAGGTGGCCCAAGCTTCCCTG